ATCATCTGTTATTTCTGACAGGGCTTCACAAGATGAAAGATCAAGATCTTCCAGGCTTTGAAGATCAGTTAAGGGAGGTAAGATTTTAAGCTTCTTGCAACCAGAGAGTTTAAATACTTTAAGTCCAGAAAGGCCTTTAATGGGTGGAAGGTTTTCAACTGCAGTATTTGAAAGGTTCAGATCCTGAAGGTTTTCAAGATGATCAAAGGATTTGTCTTCAAAATCTTTCAGACTGGAGGCATTGGAAAGATCTAGAGATTTTAGGCATTTTAAGTTGCTGGTACTGGGAAATCTTCCAATCTGAGTACAGCCATTCAGTTTAAGAACGCGGAGTTCTTTCACAGCTGTAAACCAATCCTCTTGCACTTCTTTTACCCTGCTGACACCAGTAAGATCCAGAATTTGAAGACTGGTTAACTGTTTGAGCAGACGTAGTGAAATCAAGTTATCACATCCTTCTAATAGGAGCTGTTTGAGGTTTTTAAGAGGATGAACAATTGGCATTTTTGGAAATTTGACACCCGAAAAATCAATAATCTGAAGCTCTTGAAGATGTCCAAGGCTCCCATCAGCCATCTTTTCCAAAGAGGAACATCCGGAAAGATTAAGTACCACAAGATCTTTGAGTTCTCTTATTGACGGCAAAGCTTGTAAATAAGAACACCGTCTAAGAATAAGCCTCTGTAGTTTAGTCAGTTTGGAAATATTCGGCAAAGATTCAATTCCAAGTTCAGATAAGTTGAGGCTTCGAAGTTCACACATGTCCTCAAAGAGTCCACCAGGAATTTCCTTCAAGAAAGTAGAACCAGAGATCTCAAGAGCAGTTAACTCTTTCAGTGTTTGAACAGGACCAAAGTCCTTCAATAGATGACAGCTCCTGAGCACCAACACAAATAGCTTCTTCATTTCACCTTCTTGGAGAGGAACACTTTTGATTGTAGAATCAAAAATGCCAAGAACTCTGACAGCAGGCCTTGCTTTAAAGAATGCTTTGGGAAGTTCCC